GTGAGGAGCATTTTTGGGATAAAAATAATATGCCCGGAGTGGGGTGCCACAGGATGGTAGGATTGATCTTGACCATTGGTAGTTAAGTGGATGTTATAGTCTTGATCTCGGCCTTTGAAATCTTAGTCAATGCTATGGATTTGATCTTGGCTGTCCGTTTACTCCGAGTCTTAGGTGGGAGAGGGGCTAGAGCGCAAGTTACATCCAGAACAATCTGAGCCATTGATGAGAAGGGTACCTGGGGATGGGCAGCTGAAGTCATCTAGGCCATCCATTTGTCAAATGGCAACCTGAGATGCAGCAGAGGGCAATGATGTTACTAGGACTCTCGCTGACAACACACCAGTTGGATCTTGATGCTGACAGATGGCTGACCGACACGATTTTTGGATTGAACTACTCAGGATTTGGCATTGGGCAAGGGTGGACTTCATTTGAATCTGATTTTAAATTTGAACTTGGGATAGAAGGCATTAATTTGAGCACATGGATGGTTGGGATTTGCTTATGTGGCAATCGTAGGGCAAGACGACTGGCTTGGTGGGTAACACCTGGATAGGTCTCCAAGCTCCATCTGATTTGTTGATGCTTCATGAACAACGATGGCTATGGTAGCAAGGAGGGAGTATTATAGATGGGAGTAGGGAGTACATCCTATGGCATATGAGATGGGTAAAACGACAATCATCCTGAGTTTGGAGATCCATGAACTGGATTGAACTCTTATGAAGCCAGGGTTCAATTGGACTTCGACTTTTAGATAAGATCAAAGTTTGGGAAATGGGCCTGCAGGGAGTGATATTTTTTGTTTGCCGATGTGTCCCAAGCTGGTCAGATGCGGCCATGTGCTGGATTACACCAGCCTCCCCAAGTCCATTTCCATCTGTTCCATTTGTGTGCCAGAAAGTCCATTCCAACAGTTACTTCTGTTTTTTGGTTTTTCGAACGTTTGACTACTTGCCACCCAACATCTTCAATCCTTTTGACCTGTCCTTGATCTGCACTATCTTTTGCTGCGATATTTGCATGCTGAGTCGAACTTTGCTACCATGGTTGTGTTTGATAAGAACAAAAACCTTAACTAAGCAAACTGTGCAGACTGAATCGAGGATCAAATCTTGATCGATGATATCTACCAGAATTTGGAGGACACCTAAGGCAGGACCTCAACCAACTTCCAATTCAGCTTTAAGAAGTAAACACAGTGCGACCTCTGATTTCCTCCAAAAATGGCTTGCTGCCATGGAAAGTAAGCCAGCCCAATTCCCTTGGTCCTCCATTTAGCTTCCACTACAGCAAGAAAGTTTCAAGCTCAACTTCGATGCTTGCTCTCTTGGCAACCCTGGCCTAGCTCGCTTTGGTGGACACTTCAGGGACCATAATGGCAACAAGCAACTCTCCTTGGGATTCACTGGAGTGACTCATTCCACTACAGCAGAGGCAATTGCCCTTTTGGAAGGGATCAAAAGTTTCTGTCCGGATTGGTCTGATGCCCTTATCATTGAGGGCAACTCCAAAAATGTACTCACTTGGGCTGCACAGCCTTCTCCTTGTCCGTGGCATCTACTACAAGTATTTGATCAGCTTTTTGACCCTTGTAGGTGTATGCATCTCTTATCAACATACGTGGCAGGAAGCAAACTACAAAGCTGATGCCCTTGTTAAAGCTGAAGATAACTCAGGAGCCACCGTCGAGACTCCTCGCTAAGGACTGTCTCGGTTTTGTTAGCTGCTCCACCTTTTTGGCTGAATGGGCCAGCTGGGTTATCCTTTTTTGTTTTATGTGGTGTGCAGATATACCACCATCTTGTATAGAGTGAGATAACCCCATTTTTTGAGAGCTGCACAGAACACCCAACCTGTGGGTGACCAATACTCTTCTCTGTAACTATTATTTTTTTCTTATACAAAACAGTGAACTTCATTTTGAAAAACCAAAAAAAAAGAAAAAGAAAAGAAGAAAAAAGTAAGAACCCACCTCTAGATTACTTATCCCCTTGAATACCTCTAAGTTCCTTAGGAGAGGAATAGGGCCTAGCTCACATTTTGCATGGTCTTGAGGCACCTAAAGGCAGGTGCCAGGGTTCCAGACGAAGGAGGGCACCATGAAAAGAAGGGGCAGGGAGACTTCAAAACCCATTAGGCTTCTTCTTGAGATGAGAAGGAATGAAAGTTAACTCCTGCACTAATCTTAAACATAGTTTTGTAGGAACCAAGTTCTCTTCATCCAAGCGTTGATCCTCTTCAGGTCATTCCTCCATAGATTAAGGCCCCCATTTGAGAGCTGTAGGAGACCATCCCTTTCACCGGCTCATGTTCTCCTGCACCTAGATGTAAAAGATATCCCCAATACTGAAAGAATGGGTTACGGCTGCTAGGGAGAATGAAAGGTCTGAGAAAGGAAAGTAGATTGGCTGGTCTAAAAGCTACCTCTGGGAGCATTTGTTTTCATATGGTTTTTGCTTAGGTTGATAAAGGTTCAGAGAGTTGATTCGATTAGAAAAGGTGCATTTTGAGATAGGTTTGCAAGGAAGAGCAGCATACTATGGGTTCGATTGACCAGTGGGTAGGGTAGATTGTGAGATAGATTTGCAAGGAAAAGCAGCAGAGTGGGTTCGATTGATGAAGGAGGCACCGTGAAAAGAAGGGCAGGAGACTTCAAAATCCATAAGGCTTCTTCTTGAGATGAGGGGAAAAGAAAGCTATACTCCCGCACTAATCTTAAACACAGTTTTGGTACGAACCAAGTTTTACTTCATACAAGCATTGATCCTCTTTAGGTTAGTCCTACGTAAAGACCCCAAGAGAGCTGGAGAAGACCCTTCCTTCTTTTACCAGCTCATGTTCTCCCGCACCTAGATGTAGAAGATACCCCCACAAAAGAATGGGTTAAGGTCGGTAGGAGAATGGAAGTCTGGGAAGAGGCAAGTGGATTGGCTGGTCTAACAGCTGCTGCCAGGGGTATTTGTTTTCATACAGATTTTGCTTAAGTTGATAAAGGTTCACAGAGTTGATTCTATTAAGAAAGGTGCATTGTGAGATAGCTTTGCATGGAAGAGCAACAGACTGTGGGTTTGATTGACCAAGTGGGTAAGGTAGATTGGGTGTTTCGAACCTTCTTCTAGATGAATGAACTGGGAATAGTAGTTGTAGATTTTTGGTGGCTGCAGGGTAAGGTAGGTTGCAGGCAGGTTTCCATTGTTCACTGGAGTACTGAAAGGGAATTGTGTGCAGGGTGGGAGCAGTGTTCAAAAAATAGGACTGCCCGGCACCTAGGCACACAAGTGGCTTCAGGCCACGTGCTTAGGCCTGGGTGCCCCGTTTTGGGCAGCTGTACCTGGGCGGGTGAGCCCAAGGCAATGGCCCCTTTTTTCATTTTTAAAAAACCCCAAAAGGGCAAAGGGGGTAATTTTGACCTCACATAAAAGTTTGAATAGATTATGGGGGTTATATTCAACCCCCCAAAGTAAAATAAAATAAACTAAAATAAAAACACTTTCTTAAACCCTAAATCTCTTAGCCATACCTATTTCTAAGAATCGAAAACTTTGACTTTTAACTTTTTTTAAATTTACTAATACATAATCTATTAGACTATTACTAATACATAGCCTATTAGACTTTTAACCTTTTTAAAATTTTGTATGATTTGAATTTTGATATGTTGAACAAGTTTATTCTTAGCATGTGATATGTAATATGTTTATATATAAAAAAAAATATGTTACAATACAAATGCAATAAATTACAAAATTGACACAAAGATATGTATATATGTGCGTTTCAACAGAACATATACGCAGATATCTAAAAACTTTGTACTACAAGGAGCCTGAGGTTTCGGGCGCCTGCCTAGGCGCTGGGCACTAGGCACTAGGCACCAGGCCGGTTGCTTAGCATTTTTTGAAACCTTGGATGGGAAGTTCTAGAGAATTGCAAGACAAGGCTATTGATGGGATAGGTTACTGTGGCAGGGAGAGACTGAAGGCAGAGTTAATATGGGGATGGGTTGGGTGATGGGAAAGTGAGGGCACATATTACTGCATCGGAGGTCATCTTCTCCCTTACACCATTATTTTTGTTGCTAGACTATCAATTTTATCTGCCCCTTCAATCTCCATTACCTGAAATCAAACAATTCTTGATCCACGTCAACTCTCTATCAAGAAAAACCATGGCAAGGTTCCAACACCAAAATTCGAGATCCCATGAAACTGGCGTAACGGCTTCCTTGCCAGCAAGGCTGCAGATATTGGCACTCCTCTTGCTAAATTTGCCTTCACAAGATTGACCATGAGCACGCCTGCGAGCAAAAGAGGAGCGGGGAGAAGAGAGAGAGAGAGAGAGAGAGAGAGAGAGAGAGAGAGAGAGAGACGAGGAGGAGGAGTAGGTAG